GCCGCCCCCCGCCGCCTCACTCGGCGCGGGTCCCGGGGGTGGTGGGGGCCCGCAGCCGGGCCCGGGTGGGCCGGCGCCCCTAGTACATTCTTTTGAAAGGCAAGAAAGGATCTCAACAAGGGAAGTCTTTTTTATTGTCACAGATAGACTTCATGTGAGGCTGCAGCACTTTGCCACAGTAACGTTGTGTTTTATTACAGCTAACCCAGGTGTGGCTAGAACACCACTTAATCTGCTGCATGTTCTGGCTGACATTAGTTCTGTCTGTCCCTGGCTGTGAAGTGTTCATTCTTTAAGCCTGTCAGGAGGCAGTGCAGGAACAGGGCTGGGGTAGACAGGACTCTGCCCCAGTCCACCCTAGCCCCTAGTCACAGCGAGGAGAGAACAGTAGTGCCTAGGGGTAGATGCCCAGGACCTCATGAGTAGAGAGGGCTTGGCCCTTCTATTTGTTTGGAAATAGCAATAAGAGACTGGCTGGGGAGTGTACACTGTGTGTGTTTTGTTATGGGGTGCTTGCTGGTGCTCACCAGAGAGACAGAGAGAGAGAGGGAAAGTGAGAAACACCTTCCTCCCGTCCGGAAAGATGGCCACTCTGCAATCCCTCCTCCTCTTGGATTTAGGCATGCATACACAGACGCCTGGCATGTTTTTCAAATCACTGGGTCTGGGACTCTTAACCACAGTTTGCCATATGGGATCCAGCTGCCTTAACCTCCACGCCACCTACTGGCCCACATAGTGGTTTTTTTTTTTTTTTGGAGAGGTTTTTGCTATAGGGCGTGTGTGCTCGCCGGACAGAGACAAAGAGACAGGGAGAAATCAACCCCCAGGGGGATGGCCATGCTGCAATCCCTTCTCCTCCATTCTCCTCTCGGGATCTTGGGCACGCACACGCACTCGGCATGAGTTTTAAGCCATCGGTCCAGAACGCGAACCACGGTCGACTACGTGGGAGTCCAGCGAAATAGCCATGACGCTAACTGCTGGTTCCCCACATAGTGTTTATTTATTTATTTATTTATTTTTTTGAGAGATTTTCACTGTAGGGCGCGTGCGCTCGCCAGACAGACAGAGAGAGACATAGAGACAGAAAGCGAGAAATCACCCCCCAGGGGGGATGGTCACGCCGCAATCCCTTCTCCTCCATTCTCCTCTCGGGATCTTGGGCACGCACACACACGCGCCCGGCGTGAGTTTTAAGCCACCAGGTCCGGGACACGAACCGCGGTCGACTACGTGGGAGTCCAGCGACATAGCCATTACGCTAACTGCTGGTTCCCCCCACATAGTGTATTTTTGAGGTTGCTGGTGAGTTTTGGAAGAAATATCCTCCTCCTGTTTACCAGATACATGATACCACAGGAAAGGATGGAGGAGGAGCAGCAGAGACTTACCTGAGGTGCCTGGACAGTGGGTCTCCCCTCAGGTTTCCAGGCCTGATCCACACCAGTCCCACTCAGTATGTGGGGAGCAGGTGACCAGAACTCCTTGCAGGGTTAGGGCTGGGCAGGCTGAGCCCAAAGGATGGAGTGTGTCTGTGCCCGTGTGCTGGAGAGCCCCGCAGAGGCGTCTTGCCCAGAGAAGGGGCGTGAGGAATGGGCAGAAGCTTTCCCGAAAGTTCATGGTGCAGTCGGTGTTGACACAGCCCAGCATTCGAACTGTACTTTCTATGTGTAAAGTACGTGCTTACTAGACGGTGCCCAGCACTGAGACAGCAGCCTTCGTACCACTGTGGGGGACATTCCTTATGCTTTAGGTAAGTCTCAGCCAGTGCCAGCTATGGATGTGTATCTATGAGCGCGTCCCATACATTCACACTTTTCACAAAAGCTGACGTGTCTGCAGGAGCGTCACTCAGCTCCTATGTTCTCACCGTCTGCGCTTACTCGACCTCTGGCTCTCAGTGCCTCAGCTGCTCAGGCTGGACCCTCTCAGCCCGTTTCCAGGAGCGGCTTCCTTTCCTGTGGCAGGACTTTGCAGGCGGGCAGCAGCCATTTTGCAGAGTAACCCTAGTTGGGTACAGTAGGATAGCGGCCCACGAGGGGTCTAGGAGATGCCAGGTGACACAGTGTCCCCTCTACCATCTGTTCCCCTGGACACGCTGGCTCCTGGCCGAACCTCAGCCTCCATCACATGCTCCTCGTGGGTCCATGTGTACAGCCACTTTGGGCCAGCCCACAGCTCTGAGGTGCACAGTGCAGGGTCAGGCTGTTGGGGGAGATAAGATGAGGGTGGAGGCAGAGACCAAGCCCTCAGGTCCGGGTGCCCTGGCATGGGGTCTCTCCCTGTGAAGCTGGCCCGTGACTGAAAGCAGGACAGTCGCAGTCTGCACTGCTGTCTCTGGCTGACCGACAGCGCTCCAGCCAGGCTGAGCTGCAGCACCACCGCAGGGCCGTGGGTCTGCCCTGAATCGTGTCATCCCATCGTCGTCTGACTGTTAACCGGGAGTGACCTGGGCTGAAGACCGGCTGCTGCCTCAGCCAGAATACGGAACGGCATGTCGAACTCAAAGTTTAGTACGGCAAAGGGTTATACACATGTTTTAAAGAACTCGAAAGTACTGTGCGTGAAGTACAGTAAACGTTTCGGGACAGTTTTTGAGCAGTGTTGAGCAAAGCAGGCAGGAGAGGAGCGTATTTGGTCACATCCTGTCTCCGTCTTGGGTTTAAGTCGGGAACGGTTCTTCTGTGTCACTTGCTGCTGAGCGAGAACGCAGCTCTGAGCACCTAGGCTTCCCAGAGCTCTGCCGTGGCCTTGTGTGGGACGGCGCAGCGGCACTCTGCTCATTTGCTGTTACACTTTTCCCAACAGACTTTCTCTTTCCTAAGATGGAGTCGAGTAAAAAAATGGACTCGCCCGGCGCGCTGCAGACTAACCCGCCGCTGAAGCTGCACCCCGACCGCAGTGCTGGCACGGCGGTCTTCGTCCCCGAGCAAGGCGGCTACAGAGAGAAGTTCGTGAAGGCCGTGGAGGACAAGTACAAGTGCGAGAAGTGCCGCCTGGTGCTGTGCAACCCCAAGCAGACCGAGTGTGGGCACCGGTTCTGCGAGACTTGCATGGCCGCCCTGCTGAGGTAGGTGCCCCTTGGACACACAGCAGGGTGGCCCTGGGGGCTGACTGTGCCTCTTGACTTTCCGGGCCTCTCTCTTCCACCCACTTCTTCACTCCCTTCTCTAAAAATAAGCCTCTCAGAGTTTCAGACTCTGAAGAATCGGATAAAAGTCCTAGGGCCCAGCTCGTGTGTGGGAAACATTGGGATCCAAGGCCTGGACCCTCCATGTCCTTCTCCTGACCAGCAGTCTGATGCTCCTCTCTCCCACAAGTGTCCCTGGTGAGGTCTTCCCTGGGCTACCAGCCACCCTTCCTGTGCAGCTGGTTTACCCATGCATGTTGCTGTGTTTTGCGTGAGGAGCTAACAGCTCTGTGGGGTAGATACACACAGCAGCTGGGGGGTCGTGGAGGTGCAGGTGCCCTGGTGTGCAGGGGTGCTGCAGAGGGCTGAGTGAAGACAAGGCTCAGCATAAGCCGGGGCAGGTCCTGCCTGAGCAGAAACCCAGCCTGCACGTGCATCTGTGTGTCACGTACAGCACAAGCCCGTGAAGCCTGGTCTGCTGCTGTTCTTCCAGCATGGCATCACAGTAGAGTGACACTGGCCAGGAAAACATTTTTGCTCATCCCGTGGGTACTTCGTATTTCCCGGGCAGTGTGCTGTGCCGGGTCACGTGCTTGACTTAGTCTCACTCACTGCCGTACTGGGCAGGGCTGCCAGTTCCTCCTGCCGGCCCACCACAAACCACGCTCCCCTGAGCATGGGCAGCCACCCGCCACCTTTGCCCTCACCCTCCCTCCTTCAATTCTTACCATTGTGTTCTTACCCGGGCCAGCCAGCTTTGCCCACCACAGCCATGAACCCTTGAGTGGAGCTTAGAGATGTGTGGACTCAAGGTGCTGGACTCCCCAACCTGAGAGCCTGGTCTCACTGGCCCGGGAGAGACTCGGTGCTGGGGCAGGTCCCAGTGGAGGGGCTGCGGCCTGGGATGCAGGGGGTACCAAGGGAGGGCCTGGGGCCCTGGGTGCAGGGTAAGGCCAGGAGGCTGGCTCCCCTCTCCCTTGCTGTTAGCATTGTCATTTCAGCATACAGTGATGCAAACAGTTTGTGGAGGAAGTCCTGACTGTGTTTCATTTAATTTAATTAATTTTATTTATTTGGAGAGGTTTTTGCTATAGGGTGCGTGCGCTCACCAGAAAGTCAGAGAGAGACAGAAAGCGAGAAATCACCCCCCAGGGAGGATGGCCACGCTGCAATCCCTTCTCCTCTCGGGATCTTGGGCACGCACACACACACACTCAGCGTGAATTTAAGCCACCTGGTACGGGACGGGTACCATGATCGACTACATGGGAGTCCAGTGGCATGGCCATTACACCAACTGCTGTTCCCAAGTCCTGACTATGTTTTAAAAGCAGGAGCATTTGAGGGCTTCCTTAGTAAACCACCATTGCTCACAACAAAGAGTTCACAACAAACTGGTTTGGGTTTCTGAAGTAAAATTTCATTTTCAGGTTAATTTAAAGGGGCTTTCCAAGTGGGGTGAAATAAACTATTCTACTTAATATCTTCATTTTGAAAATGACCATTTATAAAGAGTGCTCCTTTCTTCCCATGTCATCTTGTCCAAACCAGTTCACCGCCATGGCCCCAGCTCTGAGCTGCAGACAACCCAACTATGGAGTAGTCTCAGCCATAGTGTGACCCAGGGAGGACGCCCCTCCTGCTCTAACATCCTCATTGTTTCCCCTCAGCTCCTCCGGTCCCAAGTGTACAGCGTGTCAAGAAAGCATCGTTAAAGATAAGGTATTCTGGGTTTTCCTAAGTCACTCTACCACATGTTCCGAGCTGGCACTGTGGCGCTGGGTTTTACCTGGGTGTGTGTCCTGTGAGCTCCTGGACAGCTGCAGGGTCCATCCACTCTGCACCCAGGGCTTTGAGAGGTGCTTCGGCCTCTGTGCCTGCTCCTCACCCCTAACAGTGACAGTGTTCCCTGCTGAGACTGTGGGACCAGTGAGGGTAAGGGAGTTAGCACAACAAGTACAGTGCTGAGATGCTGTCTGTGCAGGGACAGTTGTCATCCCAGACAGCTCACACTCAACTGTGCCTTCCAACATGTGCTGGTCTAAGGAGTTTGTTTGAACCCTGCTGTCTCTGCTCCCACCTTGCCCTCGGTGTCTTGCTGTCATCAGACATGGGAGAGATCAGTCCCTTGTCTTTCTCACACAGTTGTGCATTCCAGTGAGAGCACGCAGGTGTCGTAGCTCACAGCTTGGTCTACCCCGCTCGCCCGCCAGCTTCCCTCCGGCCGATCCCCATGGCATGGGGTCACTGACAGGTGGTCATCCGCCTTAGCTCAGCCCTGCCGGGCACACTTGGAGTTTGAAACAGCTCGTTCCCAAAGTACTTAAAATACCAGTAAGAACGTGTGGTGCTGTGCTTTAATTAACAAACCTAACCTTTAGATGCAGGTCAGTAATCGCACAGTGCTGTCTGCCCCCATGCCCCATCCAGAGTGCTTTGCAGACTGGGTCTGTCATTCAGGGAGGACCAGCTGAGAGTGGTTGCTGGTGACAGGCGCTGGGGCATCTAGCGTCACCTGCTCTGGAAGTACGGAGAGGGAATTGGTCACTGCTCACACACCTTTTCTTCCTTAGCGTGAGTTAACTGCTAAGACTTTGTCTGCTGTTGGGAAGAAAAACTGTGTAAATGTGCCACTTTCTGGGGTGACATGTTAACTCTGAACCGCATTACTAAGAGTGATGAGAGAGGTCGGAGCAGCTGGGCTAAGAGGGATTTAGTATTGCGTTATTCAAAACTGTCACCCTTGTTTTTTCAGTGACATTGGTAGCTGAAGAAAAGCTACTAGTTCTACTAAAGAACCACTCACGAGATGGGCGAGAACCAGGGTCCTACAAAGTAGTGGGGCTCTACCCGACATGTCATCAAGTGGTGCAGGGTCCAGGTTCCCACTCATGTAAGGGGTGTATGGAGTGAATAATCAGAGCTCCGTTTCAGCTCTCAAATTCTATGCTTTTATTATTATAGTGTTTTCAGTCTTAGGTTAAATTCGAATAATTTAAGGAACTTAATGTCACAAAAAGGAAGCTTTTTCTCTTAATGGTTAAAAATACCTGTTCTTGGGGCTAGCAGGTGGAATAGTAGTTAAGGCACTGGACTCCCACATGGCTAACCTCGGTTCAAGTCCCAGACCTGGCAATTTGAAACTCATGCTCGGTACGTGTGTTTGTGTGTCCAAGATCCTGAGAGGAGAATGGAGGAGAAGTGATTTCATTGTGGCCATCCCCCCTGAGGGATGGTTTCTCACTTTCTCTGTCTCCAGCTAGCACACATGGCCTATAGCAAAAATCTCTAAAAGAAAGAAAGAAACAAACAAAAAACCTGTTCCGTTGACTTCAGTACTGTAAGTCAGTGACCTTTTAAAAAAAAAAGTCACATTTATGAAAGATTACATTTGACTCCATATTTATTTTTTAAAGAATTATTTAAATTTTATTTATTCATTCACTTATTTTTAATTTGACAGAGAGAGGGGAAGTGAGAAAGCAAGCCACCAGGTCTGGGACTTGAACCACGGTCAACCATGTGGGAGTATCCAACGCCTTAACCACTACACCACCTGCTGGTCCACATATTAGTTTATGTTTAACTTCCAACCTTAGCTGTGGATTCATTTTCTTTGCCTATGTAGTTGAGAAAGGCATTTTAAGCTCCCTGTTTTCCACTGTCATAGACTGTTATCAGGTGGGAATGTCTTGGAACTGCCTGAGGACAAAGATATTGCAGATTGTGTTGTTAGAGAGGATATTTATTTTCTCAAGAAAGAATAAAATTAAAGAAAGGAAGGAAGGTTTTCATTTTCAAAGACAAATGCTTTCATTATCAGATTCATCGCTGTACTATATACTTCAAAGTATTTTCCTAATAGCAGAGTAATGCTTCTTTTTGGTGAAAAATGAGGTAAACAAGCGTAACCTTAGGAGAAGGAACCAAAATAAAAAGTTTTGCAGATCATCCTCAAAATCTGATTTCTCGCAGTGTCTGTTTCCCTGCCAGTGACCTCTCAGGTGTGCCGAGTGGTATGGGCTCTGCCTGTGTGGGGAGGCAGATGCCCACCCCATCAGTGCTCCTGGATGTCCAGAGCGTGATGTGAGCCTGTGCTCTGCCCTGAGCCTGAGATTGTGCAGCGCTCATCAGAATGTTCGGATCTTCCAGAGTGATCGTTAATTATTCAGCAATAACGTGTTTTCTTTTGGCTTATCTATTAAAATATAGTTAAGCTTGTATTATTTAAGTTGTGCCTCATAGTGGGGCAGCTTCTTCATTGTACTTGTAGAAATTAAGATGGTTCTTAATACTTCTAAGGTCAATTTAAAAGTTGCTCTCATTTTTTTAAGTGATTTTGCCTTGTGCAAAGTAGCAGCATGTGGCGATTAAGAAATATGAATCCTCTAAACTGTCTGCGCTTCAATTTTAGGTGTTTAAGGATAATTGCTGCAAGAGGGAGATCCTGGCTCTTCAGATCTATTGTCGCAACGAGAGCAGAGGCTGTGCAGAGCAGCTAACGCTGGGACACCTGCTAGTGAGTGCCACGGTGATGCTGGGGACTTCTGAGTCCCTTGCCAGGTCCAGTGGGTGAACTGGTCCAAGAGACCTTATTTATATTAATTTTTAAAAACACCACTAAATATGAGAACCATTTAGGTATAAAGTGTTGTTTTTATGACATCCTGGGTGGGTCATCACCTTGCTTTTTAAAGACCTTCTTTCTATTTAGAGTAGAGAGAAATCTGAATTGGATTTTAATTAATTTTGGAAGACTCATTAAAAGCCTTCTTTCTTCACCATAAAGTTCCACATAATTTTTTTTTTAAGTGCAAAATTTTTCCTGGAAGGATATTTGAATTGGAGTAAAACAAAGTTCTGAGCAGGTACTCGCCTATGCAGGAGGGGAAATGGATTGAATTCTTCAACAGCAATGCAGTCTGAGTAGTCACCAAGTAGGGAACTCACGTCTCGGTGTATCCGTTACTCTTGACTCTTGCCATGAGAACTGGCCTATGGCAGACTAGAAGCATTTCCGCAGGCTGTCACTGTAGTGTGATTGGGCTGGTATTTTGGTGTCCTTTTCCTACTGAGTGAGAACTTTGAATGTGTTGTCTTACAGGTGCATTTAAAAAATGATTGCCAGTTTGAAGAACTCTCCTGTGTACGTGCTGACTGCAAAGAGAGAGTGCTCAGGAAAGACCTGCGTGATCACGTGGAGAAGGCCTGCAAGTACCGTGAGGCCACGTGCAGTCACTGCAAGAGCCAGGTCCCCATGGTCACGTTGCAGGTGCTGTTTTCCTACCCCGCCCGCCTTGTGCTAAGCTTGTACGTAATGTCCCCACTGAGTAACTTTTACGAAAGATAGTCCGTAGCAATTTCACCTGACTTTATCTCGGTTAAGCATTGTTTGTTTTGCCTATTTTGATTTATGTAATTAACACTTTCCTTTGGGAGAAAGAGTTTCACCTGGAGTGTCAGACTAGTGAAGAATGATTATTCACCAAAGGTAGACTTTTTAATGTGTCTCAGGAAATGACCTCAAAGTGCGGGGTAGTCGCCTCTGCGGTACTGACCACTTGCAGCAGGCCATTTTGCCTGCAGCATCGAAGTGCAGCTGTCTGTCCTAGAGGGAGATGAAAATTCAAAGTGTGTTCGTGCTTCGTTTACTTCGATATGGTTCCACAGTGTATGTGGGCCATACTATAGATAAGTGAAAGGACGGGAGAGGTCGAGGGTGGAGGACGAACTTCAGCAGTCATGAATTTGTTGAGCGAGCATTTCCAGATAACCTGCTTAATGCGCTGGGCTGTCCCGGAGCTGGGCTTTGGCCCCGAGGCTCACTCTGGTGTGAGAGGCGACATGCAAAGGCAATGCTGTCGGGCAGTGAGCAGGAGACGGAGAGAACTCTCCTGCTGTGATGGGGGGCAGGGCTGGCTTCTCAGGTATTCAGGACCTGCGAGCAGAGGACAGTGAGGGGAAGGTAGACTTTCCAGGGAGCTGAATGGCCCAGTGGATGTCGAGAACTGCCTGGAGCGCCGGTGAGGTGCGAGGATGATGGGGGCAGTCCAAGGGGGAAGGGATGGGTCCTGGGCAGCCATGAGCGAGGGGAGCAGGGGGTAGGAGTGACAGAGGAAACATGGAGGCAGGGCTTGGCATTGGCAGGACAAGGGGAGCAGGTGAGGGAGGGGCATGAGCCGGTGGACAGCTCCAGACCAGAGCAGTAGGGCAAGGGGTGGCTCACATGTGGGGTGAGCTAAGGAGGTTGCTCTGCACCATGACAAGAGCTCCTGGGGAACCAGGGTGTCTCGCCAAGGTAGAACTGTGGAAGACAGTAGGCTGTCAGGAGAGTAGGCTGCAGATACGCATGAACTGATCATCCTTACAGCTGTGGGCCTGGATTGGGCTGAGGGAGGGCCAAAGTTCACAGAGACCTGGGCACGCTAACATTTATAGATTGCTAAGAGGAATCTACGCAGAGGGCCAGTAGGAAAGGGTCAGGAGAATGGTGTCCCCAGTGCGGGGGAGCAAAGGCACAGGGGCTGCCAAGAGGGTGAGCAGGTCAGGCAGCATGGTGTGACTGGCGGGTCGCGGGGGGTGGGGGGGGCAGAGCAGTGCACCAGGCCGTGGGCCCTGGAGTGCGAGTGGGTGTCCTGGAGCACTTCCTGACCTGACTGAGGTTTGCTTGCTCTGTGAAGTGAGGCGTATTCTGCTTTATAATCCCATCTTTGCCTTTCTTTTATAACTGTCCCGTGCTTGTGAATTCCACTGGAGAGTCTGTTTCTTATATGACACTCCGGGCATTTTTAGTTACTAAGAACATTTAAAGCCTGGCCCTGTGGCCTACTGGGTACGGGAAGCCAGACACACACGTGGCTGACCGCTCTGACTCCCATTAACTTGGGAAAATGCTGGTGCGTGTTCATGTTCCACTGGGGGGCACTTTCTCCCTCTCTGTTTCTGTCTCTGGCAAGTACATGTGCTCTCTGGCAATAACAACAAAAAAAATTTAAGTATGAATTTCTTTATTATTTTTAAATTCAACTTTATTCATTCATTCATTTATTTTAATTTGACCAGAGAGAGACACCAAGAGAGAGAGAGGAAAGTGAGAAAGCAAGCCACCACATCTGGGGCTTGAACCATGGTCAGCCATGTGGAAGTGTCCAGTGCCTTAACCATTACGCCACCTGCCAGTCCTAGTATGAATTTATTTTGATACAAAAAAATTCTTTTAATTATACATATTTTTTGTAACATTTTCCATAAATTTTTTGAGGATCCACATAATTCATTGTAACTAAATCCCTCAGTAATTAAATTTCAGTGAGTAAGGCACATGCCTCATGACTGACACTCCAGGCCTTAACATGTTATTGTTTTGTTGAGTTACATTTTGCTTCTTTAGAAAACAATTACCTTTATTTCCAGAATAGAATGCAACAAATAATTTTTGTTTTGTGGAGGAGAGGAGGAGTTGTAAACGGGGCAGTTAGATACAGTGTAAGAAAGTGACTCTCAACACCAGAACTGGACTGTAAGGGTCGGCCAAGCCGCCGGCCTGGCCAGTTGCCCCGTGTAACATTTGTCGAGTTCTGGCTGGGCACCAGACCCTGTACAGGTTGCTCAGGACACACGTGAGCCCAGAGATCTCTTTTGGTTTACAGTTTGGTGAGGGAACAACAGTTGAATGCATTGTGTTCTGGGAAATACAGTAACCGTACTATGAATAAAGTACCAGTGAGGAGAGATTGATTAGCTAGCCTGATAGGGTCGAGGGCAGCTTTGGTGAGGAGGCAGTGTTTGTTTTGCTCCAGAACTAGAACTCGTTGACCCCGGAGAGAGGAGAAAGAGAACAGGTGCTATGCTACGCAGAGTGATAATTAGCAACGTTGGGATCCGAATTGTGCAAACAAGTATTCTTCATAAGCCTTCCCATACTTGGGGCTAGCAGTGGCATAGTGGTTAAGGTGCTGGACTCCCATGTAGTTGACCGCACGTCAAGTCTCGGACCCGGCAGCTTGAAACTCACACCAGGCACTTGTGTATGCGTGCCCAAATCCTAAGAGCAGAATAAAGGATATATGTATACTCCTATACTCTTGTGGTGACAACTGGTTTTAAGCTGTTTAATGATGCCAATGACTAGAGTGTGTCTCTCTCCATATATAGATATGGATATACATATATATCTATTTATATACACACATACACACGTATGTCTATGTTTTGCCATAGGGAGTGTATGTTTGCTTGAGAGTGAGAGTGAGAAATCATCTCACAGGGGAATGACCATGTCCCAGTCTATTTTCTGCCATTCTCTTGCTGGAATTTTGGGCATGCACAGGTGCCTGGCGTGTTTTGTGTGGGAGCATGTAGGTACAGCTGCTCTGGACAGCTTCTGGCAGTATTGGTCAGGCTGAGCAGTTCCTCTCCTAGGCAGGTCGGAGAGACTGCACTTGCACATGCACTCCAGGAAGTGTGCTTAGATGGAAGCAGAGAAGCAGAAAGCTGGAAACAGCCCACATACCCGGCAGCTGCTGGCGAGCACAGCTCGGTTGCCGTCGGCCCCAGGACTGCAATACAGCAGCAAGAATTGTGTGAGGGTATTTCACAGAGCAGTGTGGTGTGCGGGCCACACCTGGGCAAGGCAAGCAGGCAGGAGCATGATGCTGAGCTAGGTTGTGGAAGATGCCCATAGTAGAGTCTTGTCTTTTCTTTCTTTTCTTTTCTTTTCTTTTTTTTTTAAAGAATTTTTAATTATTTAATTAACTAAATTTGTTGTTGTTATTTTTTAATTTCACCATAGACAGAAAGAGAAAGGGAGAAAGCAGGCAGCCAGATCCGAGACTCAAATTGCGGTCGGCCATGTGGGAGTCCAGCTCCCACAAAGAAACTTTTTAAGCAGAATACAGTGAGAGAATCCTGGATTGTGGTTTTATTTGTTACTCCTCCTGGGGAAGTGGGATGAGAGAGCATGGAGGACACCAGTGGATGGAGGGCGCGGTCGTGTTTGAGGACCCCGGCAGCGGCCCCTGGGTGTGCGAGTGGCTGTCACGCCTTGCAGGGCCCTATGTGCACTTAGGTGCCTGTGCTGGATCAGTGTGAATTTAGTTCATAGCCAGGACTGACTTTGTTCACGTGTGGTCTGGTCAGCAATAGGAGACCCAGACTTTTTCCTTTTTTTTTCTTGGAGAGGTTTTTGCTATAGGGCTTGTGCGCTCACCAGACAGACAGAGAGAGACATAGAGACAGAAAGCAAGAAATCACCCCCCAGGGGGGATGGCCACACCGCAATCCCTTCTCCTCCATTCTCCTCTCGGGATCTTGGGCATGCACGCACACGCACCCGGCGTGAGTTTTAAGCCACCGGGTCCGGGACACAAACCACGGTCGACTACGTGGGAGTCCAGTGACATAGCCATCACGCTAACTGCTGGTTCCCGAGACCCAGACTTTTTAATGGGTGTGTCATTTCTTTTGGCTGCTGTAAATAAGGGCCACACCGCTGGTGGCTTAAGGCAGTAGGAATGTACTCTCTCTCCCACAGCTCCTAGTCTAGAAATTGGAAACCAAGTGTCCTCAGGCCCTGCTCCTCCCACAGCTCTAAGGAAGAACTTTTCACTGCCCACATAGCTCTGGTGGCTGCTGGTGGTCCTTGGTGTTCTCGGCTGGCGGTGCAGCCCCCCCGCCTCCATGTTCACAGACCTGTCTTCATGACACATGCCCTTACCTCCTGAGAACACCAGTCACAGACGAGGGTCCGCCCTAATCATGTGTGGTCCCATCTTAACCAGATGCACCTGCAAAGACCCTATATCCAAATAAGGTTTCATCTGAGATTCTATGTAGACATGAGTTTTGGGACGGCGTTGTTTAACCCATGAGAGTGGGCAAAAACCAGGGCCGGCTGGTGGTGGTGTGGTCAAGGGCGTTGGACTTCCACATGGCTGACCAAAGTTCGAGATCTGGACCTGGTGGCTTGCTTTCTCACTTTCCATCTCTCTCTCACTCACTCACTTACTCTCTCACTCTGTCCCTCCCTGGTTAAATTAAAATAAATAATAAATTTAATTAAAAAAAATTTTTTTTAAAAGAGGAAATACCATGGAAAGGTAGTCACAGTGATGAATAAGTCAGAAATATTCTTTAACCACACAGCGTAAAGAAGTGCAGGTCCCACACACTGCATTTCCACCTGCAAGGTTGTCAGAGATCAAGAAGTGTGATAAATTGGCAGAGGCGCAGAGACAGCTGTAGAAGGGTACTGGAGGGCAGTTTGGCAATACCTGTCAGAATCCAATTTGGAATGTCTGTCCTTACATACAAAAGCTGCTCTAAACAGCATGTCACTGAGCCATCCCAGCACAGACTCGCAAATGGGCTCACAGAAGACATTGCTGGACCTGCCTGCTGGCCACTGTCCTTGGGCTTCCTCAGTCACCCTTCCTGAGCTCTGGTCCCAGCAGCACCCTGAGCCTCCTCCTCCCCCTTCTCTCTCTCTCTTTTTTTTTTTTTTGAGAGATTTTTCACTGTAGGGCGCGTGCGCTCGCCAGACAGACAGAGAGAGACATAGAGACAGAAAGCGAGAAATCACCCCCCAGGGGGGATGGTCACGCCGCAATCCCTTCTCCTCCATTCTCCTCTCGGGATCTTGGGCACGCACGCACACGCGCCCAGCGTGAGTTTTAAGCCACCGGGTCCGGGACACAAACTGCGGTCGACTACGTGGGAGTCCAGCGACATAGCCATTACGCTAACTGCTGGTTTCCCCCCTTCTCTTTTGTGGTGACTGTCTGCATCCTGCCAGCCCTTGTGCTCACCCCAGCAGCAGCCACAGTGCCCGGCCCGGTGAATGAAGCGGGGAGTAAGGGCAGGTTCAGGGAGGTTTGCCTTGTTCCAGAACCCACTCAGCTGCCAAGCCTCTGACTTCACCCAGCCCTCAGCTCCTCTGGGAGGGAGGTCCAGCCACTCCCTCTCTGCAGAGAGGGGGTCCTTTGCTCGAGGTTTTCCTTCTGGAAGATACAACTTGCTGTGGCCTTGGAGCCCACAGGTCTGAGTGCAACTGGGTCTCCAGAGGGTGCTTGCTGAGCATCTGTGGGCCTGAGCACCAAGCCCAGGGGCGGAGCAGCTCTATATCTGTGGGGTCACTGCTGCACCGGGCCCCATGCACACAGAGAGTGGCATCCTGTGTGGGAGGACAAGCGCCCCCTGTGGGCCGTTCTGGGCCTTCACCCCAGTGATTTGCGCCGCCACCCCCCCACCGCCCCCACCCCGGCTCGCAGCAGGTGTCCTCTCGCCACTCACTCAGCTAACACTCACTCAGCTAAGCTGCACTAGCTGGCAGTGGGAGAGCCTGAAAGCCCTGATGAAAACTGAAAGGGCTCCCGACTTTGGGGAGACACTGCCAGGGTTTCTTCTTGCTCCGTGGAGTCATCCCTGGCTCTGCCTACAGTCATCTCTCGGGGGCTCCGAGTCCCCTGTCTGGTGGGCTCTCTGGGGCCGTTAGGCGTAGTGTCCTCTGGGGGTTACTGCTGTTGCTTCACTTGAGGACAGGAGCGTGGGAAAGACGCCTGGCAGGTGCTCTTGGCAGTGGGCATGAAGGTCACCGTCATCCAGTTGCCACCAAGCTGAAATTTGTGCCGTGTAGAAAAACGGCTCATCCGAAGTGTGTCCGTACGTTCTGTGCGCCTAAAGGTAGTCCGGGTAAGATCCCAGAGATTCCTGTACCTGGTAGATGGCCCTGCTCATGCAAGAAGCTCCATCTCCAGGCCCCAGCCTTTGAGGCCCAGGGAAACCCGTCCACACAGCAAAGGTGGACACTCAGCTGATCCCTGCTCGCCATCTACCTTCTGAGCCTGCGCAGCAGGGACTGGGGGCACTGGT